GTGTGTGTGTGTGTGTGTGTGTGTGTGTGTGTGTGTGTGTGTAGGTGGGTGGGTGCTTTATTTCTTCCTGCACTGTTTGGTTTTTTTGCAGCAGGTATTCTCTTTGTCCCATTAAAGCATCTTTTTAAGAATGATGATTATTGACTGTAAAATGTAGGAAAGAAGGAACTAGAAGCCCCTCAGAATCATCCTTTGGAGATAAATTCCATTCTTGTCCTTTCCATGTCCTTCCTGGAATCCCTTTATGTCTAGTCGAGATGGTGCATGCACTGGGTTTTAACCGCCGTCAATTTGATTCTCTGGGTGTGTGAAAATGACCCATGGTTGACTAGGGGTCCCCAACCTCACAGAGGAATGGTGCAGAAATGATGGGGTGCTGGACCATCCTGTCCAAAGGGCATTCTTTGAAGTTGAGTCGGCAATTCCTGGGCCTGAATTCCTGGAACGCTGTCTGGTCCACAAGTGAAGAAGATCCGGTAACTGTTCACGACTTCATCCAGCTCCCACCAGGCCGGGCACCCTGGGGACAGTGGAGGACTCAGGTCCTATCCTTCAGGAACTCAGGATGGTTGGAGGAGGAGCAGCCAAGAACCTCTGTGGGATGCTAGGGACACCTCGGAGGAGGGGCAAAGTCAGGGGAATTGGGACCGTTGGGAAAGGCTTTCTACAGGAAGTGTGACCTCAGCTTCACTTTTAACCTCAGTAATGTATCTCATCTAACCTTGGAGTTGGAACAGATGATTAAAGTTCCAGCTGCTAACTAATAATCCTAGTCCACTCACAAGTGCCTCCTAGGAAAGGCCTGGTGATCTGCTTCTAAAAGGGCACAGCCCTGGAAACCCCATCGGTGAGCAACGGTTCGACTCTGCAGCCTACAGGTTTTCCACGAGTCGATATTGCCTGATGACAGCTCTTTCTCCCTTTAGCCTGGTGTTTGTTATCTTCACGATAGCCTTCTCAAGCTAAAAAAAAGGTACCAACAGAAAAATTAAGCAGATAAGAAGGCCGCAAAAGTAGTGATTTGCCATGCTGGAATTAGCTGTAGGCCTCCCTCCTCCCTCCCTTCCTCCCCAGCAGAACATTCCCCGATCAGGAGAGTGAGCATAAGCCTACCGCTTGTGTTTGTTCCCTGCAGAAAGCAGTGATGAAGACCAGCATCCCAGAGAAAGCAGAAAACGCTGCAGCAGCCACCACCGCCACCGACAGAGCCGGGGGGCGGGACTCTCCCCCAGGGAACACTCACCTGGTAGGGGATAGGCCTGGCCCTCTCTCTTTTGCCCAGTCAAGTCCCCACTGAGCTCCCCAGTGAGACAGCCAGTCTGTGTGAAGACGCGCCTCAAGTCACTGTTGACAGTGGAGCAGAAATAGGAAGCTACCTAACTGCAACAAGAAGGGATTCATCAGCCAAACGACAAGACATCTAGTCACATAATTAGTTTAATCCCTTATGCTTCTTAACAATACACCTAGACATGCTGTTCCTGGCTAGAAACAAAGCTAGAAGGGAGACCATAAAAAAGTGGTATTGCTGGATGCTTTGACGTTATGAATGATTCTCTTTTCTGGTTTTGAACTTCAATATACTAGAAATGCTTTACAGTAGACTATTTTATTCTTTTTTAATTAAAAGATCACTTTATTGAGGGCTCTTACAACTCTTATAACAATCCAAACACCAATTGTATCAGACATATTTGTACATAGGTTGCCATCTTTCTTTCTAGACATTTACTTTCTATTGAGCCCTTGATATCAGCTCTTCTTTTTTTCCCTCCCCCGCCACCTCAAATATTTCATTCTTTTAAAAAAATTATTTATTGGGGGTTCGTACAACTCTTATCACAATCCATACATACATACATCGTGTCAAGCACATCTGTACATTTGTTTCCCTAATCATTCTCAAAACATTTGCTTTCTACTTGAGCTCTTGGTGTCAGCTCCTCTTTTTTTGTCCCTCCCTCCCCCAACCTGGAATATTTTATTCTTTTTAAAAAAAATCAATTTATTGGGGCTCATACAATTCATCACAATACATAGATCAATTGTGTAAAGCACATCTATACACTCGTTGCCCTCATTATTCCCGAATATTTTATTCTTAATAGACTTCATTTCTTAGAGGAGTTTTAGGTTTCCATTAAATTACTCAGAAAGTAGAGTTCTCACAAATTGGCTGCATATTGCTTCTCCTATTAACATTTGTATTTCTGTGATACATTGTTACCATGAATGAAGAAATACTGATACATTATTATTAGCTAACGTTCTTAGTTTACATTAGCATGTTTTATTTTTATAATCAGAGGTGGATCTTTTTTCCTCCCTTTGGAGGTAGTTTACTCCAAAACAAGTGGGGTTGCCATGAGCCCCAGTCAGTTCGACTACCACAGGCCTTTATTTTTTAACGTCTCACACAGACCCGTCAGATAAGCATTGCCCTGCTAACCACAGAGTTGTCAGTCCAAACCCACCAGCCTCTGGGGAGAGAAAAATGAAGCTGTCTTTTCCCATAAAGCTTTGCAAAGCCTTGGAGACTCTGTAGGAGCTGGGATCCACCTGGTGGCAGTCGGTTAATACAGACCTTGGCATGCTCAGTGCTTCCAGGAAGCTGGAGCTGTGTTGAAATGCAGGCTTTGAAGTTAGACCTGAGCTTTAAAGCCTGGAGTTACCACCTCCAGGCTGTGTGTCTTTAGAACAATAATTTAACTTTCAGAGCCTCCGTTTCCTAATCTGTAAAATGGGTGGGGAGGAGTAGTAATATCTCCTTCACACGGTTTCCATGAGGATCAAATGAAATATTGAAATATAAATCACTGTGTAGAATGTTGGTATATAGTGGCTACTCAATAGAGGGCAACTGCTATTAACATAATAAGGTCTCGTTCTAAGAAACTGGAGGAGTCTTACCTCTGGGGGGACTATGGGGAGTCAGTGCAAAATGAAGGCACTTGTAGGACTATCTTGCCTCTTGAAGATTCCTCATCCTACCCTACCCACACGAATCCCATGTTACCTTTTAGACTTCAGACACGTGGGACATTGAGGCTGGGTCCTGGTTCACTGTGATCACTGGGAGCTAACTAAAGGGGTTTGTGTCTCCGCCAGGTGACAAGCATGGAGAGCCTGATGTGCCCAAGGATGAGCTGCAACTCTATGGAGGTAATCCGTTGTCTGGTGGCTTTAGAGGAAACTGAATTAGACCACAGGCATGAGGACTTGGGACTTTTTAGGGGTGGGAACAAGGTCATGAGGTAGCCCACAAACTGAAAAATCCTGGGCAAATACAGGAGATGTGACAAAGCTAGTGCTGTTACCTTGGCAGATAGGGAAGGGGACACGAGCCTTTTCTACCATGACAATTTCTCAAGGAAACCTTGCCACCTTTTCCAAGCTATAACCTTGACTTATGGTGTGACCTTGATCTGTCATCCAATCTGTCCAGGCCTCAGTGGTCTGTCCCAACAGTGAAAGGAGACAGATCAGTACTCGCTCTTTTGAGACGCGAGGCTGTTTACCCAGGCAAGGGGAAATTCAGGATCTGATCTCTACAAAACTCATTTTATGGAATAATTATTTCAAAACTTCATGATTATTATAGTGGGGTGGTATAAAGATGATGGTGATGCTTTGCTTGGTACAACTATGATGAAACTGGGGCAGGGGCCTGAGGGTGGGGGTGGAGGGAGTAAGCCAGTTTGCAAAAGAACCTGAGAAATACACAATGCTGGATTAAAAAAGAAGCCTGCTCAACTTTGTTTAATCCAACTTTTCCAAAATCTACTTACTCTCCTCACACTTAGTAATGACCCAGGAAAAAAGATGGAAAAAGCATATCTCCAAGAAAGTTGTTCAATACGTTACACATAAAAATACAACCAGTGGTTGCCTCTGGGTGGTAGTTCTAGGTAGTCCATTTAATGTTTTATTTGCTTATCTGAATTTTCTGATTTGAGTATTATTTTGTTTTGGTTTTGTTGGAAAGTTGTTGTTTTTAATTACTGAAATAGTTTTCAGAGGTTTCACTGGGTGTTTGAAAAATAGGAAACTGTAGCCCTGGCCTCCTCAGCTAGGCGCCGGCCATTCCCTCAACCTAACAAGGAAGGGCTCAGCCCTCCCAGGGGCCCTGCAGGGAAGCCCCTTCATGTCTCTGTGCCCCAGCAAGATAAAGCCAACTACTCCCACATGACCCCGCCGGCCTGCCAACACTCACCAGGGCACCACAATGCCACAGAAGCAGCAGCCAGTCGTAGTCAGAAGAAGGAGAGAAGATGATGAAGAAAAAGAAAGAAAAATAGGCATACGTAACTGAACATTCAAATCCAAAGGAATATTCTGAAGCAAAGGGCCTGGAACTACCAGAACTAGAATTCAGAAGACTGATGTCCAGATACTTTCAAAAGAGGTTTGAGAGACCAATAGAAAAAATACAACAAATAGAGGTGCAGAAGCTAAGTAATAAGATAACAGAATTAGACAGCATGGTAAAAGAAGAGAGTAATAGTACTGAAGCGATGGACAGCTGAGTTAGTGAGCTTGCAGACAATTCCCTCAAACACAACCGACAAGAGAAACAGCAAAAGGAGCAGAGGAATCTGAAGAAAGCTTCAGAATTACATGAGACACGATCAAGAGGAACAGCCTACTTCTCGCTGGGAGCAGGAAGAAGAAACCAAAAAAATCGACAGAGAGAGTAGTACAAGAAATCATGGCAGAAAACTCTAACACTGTGAAAGAGGAGAAAGTCGCTGTTTTAGAAAGCTGAGAGAACCCCAGACAGCACAGATCCTAAGTTAAGAGCATTGCAACATGTCGTAACCACGCTCCGCAGCCTCAAGGAGGAGGAGAATCCTGGGAGCAGCATGGAAAAAAGAACAGTCGCTTACGATGGAAAATCGTTCAGAATCGGCTCAAATTTCTCAGCAGAAACTGTGCCGGCAAGAAGACAAAGGAGTAATATATATTTAAAAATGAGGAACTGTGATGTTAACACAGGCTTAGGGTTTCCCCCCAGTATTAGTAACTCAGATTCATGGCAAAAAAGTATAATAGAATCACTTCCACGTGAATGACCATTGGAGGCATTGTGTGCTTCTGTTTCAGGTCTCGTGTGGTTTGGGGTTTTCTCTCTCTCTATCATGTGTACTGTCTCTGTGTCGTGGGACTGGTCACTCCTAGGTCACTTGGATCATGGTGCTGCTATTTGTGGTGTGCGGAATGTTTGCAGCCACGTGCTGAGTGCTCCTTTCTCGTGTCTGTGGGCTGAGGACAGTAAATATAGACGGACTGGGCCTCTTGGAGGTGGACATCATGAGGGGTTCTGTCAGCCCTCAAGGCAAAGAAGTGACAAAGGAAGGAAAGGGGTCACCAGGGAACTAGAACAGACAGAGCAACTGGTGAATATGGTCGAAAGCCAACATCCTGGACCAGGCTGATGGGGAAGATGCATCTCAGGACAGACATAAGGGGCTCAGCTCATCCCCAGGCAGCCCAGACAGGAACCTCAACCCACAGTTTAATCCCAGGGTCCTACATGATCAATTATTTTAAGGTGAGCACATAATAATCAATTTGTGTTATTATTTCCTTTAGGGACCTGTTTGTTATTTTTGCCATTATATATCTATTTAAATCAAGAGGCTTCATGTAAGAGCCTGCTTTTCTGAATTCTCATAGGAAACTAAAAGACAGCTTACAGTGTGTGGGCATGACTGCCCTTGGTTCCTTAAAGAAACAAAACTAGTGACATTTATTTATGTATAAGAAAGAAATTTATATCAAGAGAGCGTGGCCCACATAGCTGCAGAAGCAGGCAAGTCCAGTCTGGCTCAAGTCCATGGGTCAGATGCTAAGCTGGAGTTCCTTCCTGATTCATGCAACTTTCCAGGCCAACAAACCAGGCCACAGGTGGCAGAGACCAAGGTAAATGAATCTAAGTTCAGCAAGCAACGTAACACTGACAGCTACCGGGGTTGGCAAGTAACATACTCGGCTGCAGGCCCAAGTCCTAAGGAGCCAGATACAGGATGTAGGGCAAGAGTAAGGAGTTCTCCACAGTGATATTTATATCTATTATGTAGGTCATACTCTCAAGGAGACACCATCAGGCTATGACCTAAGTAAGGTGTTGCACTCCATCCTAATCTTCCGTTTGCTACAGTATGTTAGGTCACACTCTGGCCCAGCTGAGTTGACACAAAGTCTAACCATCAGAGACTCTTTCAATGGAAAGAGGCCTCCAACTTAATCCAGCTCAACCTGTGAGAGGTTCTCCTGGGCGTAGCTTCTCTCCACCCAGGTGATGATGGATATGTGACCCCTACTTTTCCTTCTATTCAGGTGCACCTGGAGAGATGGTACCCTCTGGGGAATCAGGTGAGTGTCTTGTAATGAGAGGGGCCATGGCGGTGTAGATACCAACCATGCACAAACTGTAGGAGATGGGAACTCTCAAGTGAGAGGACCCGGGGTTCCTGTCTTGGAGTCCCCGAGTGGTGCAAATAGTTTAGCACTCAGTGACTAGCCAAAAGCTTGGCGGTCCAAATCCACACAGAGACTCAGAAGAGAGATAATCTTTCAAAAAGTCCAGCCATTGAAAACCCTATGGAGCCCAGTTCTCCTCTGCGCACATGGGGTCACCATGAGTTAGACTAGTCTTGGTGGCAGTTAGCTGGTCTGTCCTGGGCTCAGCATGAGACAGGAGCCCCTGGAGATTAGAAAGGGGTCCAGGCTGGAGGCAAGAGGATTACAACCAGCAATGCACAGAGAGACTGCGCAAGGGCCTGGGGGTTTCCAGCGGGGCCTTTTCACGGGTTGCCTGGGGAGTCTCCTAGAGGGGAGACCCTAGCTAAGCCCCCTGTTTTAGTTATGTAGTATCACTCTAACAGAAATGCCACAAGTAAATGGCTTTAGCAAACAGGTACGTATGCGCTCACAATTTAGAAGGCTAGAAGTCCAAATTCAGAGTGTTGGGAAAGCGGGCTTCTCTCTGTGGGTCCTGGGGCATGATTCCCGCTTCTCCACGTCTGCTTCCTAGTGCTCTGGAGAGCTCCATGCGGCTCCGCATCAACCTTAACCCGTCTCTGCACACCCTGCCGCCCTCCTCTCTCATGAACAGAACAAAGACCACCCATTTCCAAATAGGATTATAACCATAGGTTCACAGGGTCAAAGTTCTAACACACATCTCGGGGAGGAGGGGGGACGACTACAATTCAGTCTCTCACAGGACCCCAAGCAGTCTGGGTTCTAATATTGTGGTTCTGATTTCTAGGACTCCGGAGGAGAGGTTCTGACTCAACAAGTGGTAAATACTCCCTATCAGAGAGGAGAGACTGGGAGGAAGCCTGGACTTACAGGGGTGAGGCAGGGGAGGGCGGGCAACACACAGCTGGATGAGCAGGGAAGTTGGTCCAGCAGGGAAATGGTCACCTGACCAGCTGGGATGCAATCACCTGGCAGAGGTGATGATAATTCAAGAACGAATCCTGCAGGAAATGGAAGGCAGACTTGAGTCTGTGAAGGAGGAGGACACTCATGGGACTGCAAGGACAGCCCCCCACCTTCACAGGTTCCCCTTGACTGGCCCTGTAGTGGAAACCCTTTGAACCCAGGAGGTCAATTCTCAGGGATGAGGAAAGAGAAACTACTCTTCCCACAATCTCTCTAACTCTTTCTCTCCTCTTTCTCATTCCTCAGGGGAAGTGGACGTCCCTCCCTTAAGAAGATTGAATATCAAGAAAGATGGTAAGGGAATCGGTGTTTTAAGACTGTTTCTGCCTATCTGGGGCAGTTTTCTACGTCTACAAAGTCAGCTGGTGGCCGGAACTTCCATATTCCACTCACCGTGTGCCCTACAGGCAAACTCCTTAGAAGTGCTTGGGAACGGGTGTGCAGGTACTCTGGGTTTTGTAGATATGAAAACAGGCTCAAGAACGGAGAGTGAGAGGCACAGTCTGGGCTTGACCCCTGCTCCTAAGTGTTCTCTGCTACACAGAGAGTCACCGAGATGATGGAGGAGCTCTAGAACGCGTGGCTCAGTGTGTGTGTGTGTGTGTGTGTGTGTGTGTGTGTGTGTGTG